TGGTTCTGGAGTGATTCAGCAACACGTGGACGTTGGGGTGCTTTGGGTGCTGGCAGTCTCCGGGTGCTCTACGCTGGTGCAGGTAACTTGTCACCCCCAGGCCAGGGCACAGCTGAAACGACCCTCAGAGAGCTGCCGCCCCGTTTCGGTACGGGCGGTCCGAAGGCAGGAGCTGCGTTGGAGGGTGGGAGGAGGGATGGGGCCTCCGCAACAGATTTTGGGGTGTCTGTCTGCTAGTGTTTTGCACCAGGAGGTGCTGGTTTGTTACGAGTTCACTGCTGTGTGGCTCACGAACGCTTCAGCGTACGATAGCCTTTTGGTTATGATCGCTACAGCCAAGCAATCATCTCTGTGCGATCTCTTCCCTCTGCACTCCAAGTTTCACAGAATCACAGAATCACAGAATGTTCAGGGTTGGCAGGGCCCTCTGTGGGTCACCCAGTCCAACCCCCTGCCCAAGCAGGGTCACCCGCACAGCACCGCGTCCAGGCGGGGCTGGAATATCTCCAGAGAAGGAGACTCCACAGCCTCCCTGGGCAGCCTGGGCAAGGGCTCCGTCACCCTCAGAGGGAAGAAGTTCTTCCTCATGTTCAGCTGGAGCTTCCTCTGCTTCAGTTTGTGCCCGTTGCCCCTTGTCCTGTCGCTGGGCACCACTGAACAGAGTCTGGCCCCATCCTCCTGACACCCACCCTTCAGATATTTATAAGCATTTATTAGGTCCCCTCGCAGCTTTCTGTTCCCCAGGCTGAACAAGCCCAGCTCCCTCGGCCTCTCCTCGTAGGAGAGATGCTCCAGTCCCCTCACCATCCTTGTAGCCCTCCGCTGGGCTCTCTCCAGTAGCTCTTCATCTTTCTCTCCTGACCCGTGAAGATCTGCTGGAAATACTTTATTCAGCCTAGCAGTAAGACTCTCGGGGATCTTGGGTGTAAAGATTGTGGGTGTAAAGATATTTCCTTCCTGAGGACTGACCGGTTCATGAATCCCAGCAAACAGCATCTAATTCAGAGGGGACCGGGAGCTGGCAGGCGTAGTAGTCACCTGCTCTCTTGACTTGACAGCCTAGGATTCAAATGGAGTCGCACCTTCGTATCTTGGATAGCTAGGATGGTCATAGAATCATAGAATCATAGAAAGTTTTGGGTCGGAAGGGACCCCTAGAGGTCATCTAGTCCAACCCCCCCGCAGCGAGCAGGGACAGCCCTAACTAGATCAGGTTGCTCAGAGCCCTGTCCAACCTGGCCTTGAATGTTTCCAGGGATGGGGCCTCCACTACCTCTCTGGGCAACCCATTCCAGTGTTTCACAACCCTCATTGTAAAGAATTTCTTCCTTATATCCAGCCTAAACCTACCCTGTTTTAGTTTAAAACCATTACCCCTCGTCCTGTCACT